TATGAGTGTATGTGGGTTCTTGGGATAATTTGTTTTCACCTGTAATATGTGAAATGTTTAATCATGTAAGGGATGTGGAAAATATGTTGGTTTTTACTTGTATTCATTGTAATCATTCCCTTGAAAAACAGAATGTAACCACATTGTAATTGTTATATTACCTGAAAGATTGCTGGAGTATATAAGCTGTAAGGGAAAGAATCAAGATAGAGTTAAAAAGAGTTAAAGGAAAACATCAAGGATGAGAGAGTTAGAGGAAAAACATCAAGGATGAGAGAGGGAAAACATCAAGAGAGACAGAGGGGCATTTCTGGATAGGGATAAGAATACAGAATCAGCCGGGCGGTGGTGGCGCACGCCTTTAATCCCAGCACTTGGGAGGCAGAGCCAGGTGGATCTCTGTGAGTTCGAGTCCAGCCTGGTCTCCAAAGCGAGTTCTAGGAAAGGCGCAAAGCTACACAGAGAAACCCTGTCTCAAAAAACAAAACAAAACAAAAAAAAATACAGAATCAGAATACAAAAGAAGAATAAAGAAAAAGGTCTGACGGAAATCATCAAGACAGTGCGTAGTGTCTTTTCCCTACCCCCTCATATAGAAAAGTCATAGTATGCTTTGATGCCATGGGTTCCCTTCCAGCCCTGTGCTAATAAACATAACTAATAAATATATATGAATTTATTGGGCCGTCTTTCATTAAAATACAACAACAGCCCAATCACACCTTAAAGGCTGAGACTTGGTAGTCGCTTGGTCCTCGAGGCTTCAGCATCCGGAGTCCCACAGTAACTGTCTCTATTGGAAAAACCAATAATCCTGGAGCTCCTCAGTCCACAGGGCTACGTCGTGCCTCAGCAGAAAATATGGCGGCAAAACCCCGGAGGTCCCTGGAGAGCTGCTGGTCTTGTTGACATAAAAACTGCAGCTCTCATCTTATTTACTTTTAAATTTTTATTTAGTTATTTAGCTAGTTAGTATTTTGTTTGTTTGTTTGTTTGTTTGTTTGGGGTGTTTTTGTTTTTGTTTTGTTTTGTTTTCTTTTGAGACAGAGCTTCTCTGTTTAACAGTCCTGGCTGGAACTCTTTGTAGATCAGGCTGGCCTCAAACTCAGAGATCCACCTGCCTCTGTCTCCCCAGTGCTGGGATTTAAGGCATAAGCCACCACTGCCCAGCTAAAATACTTGCTAGTTTTTTGTTTTGTTTTTCCAAAACAGTTTCTCCATGTAGCCCTGGCTGTCCTGGAACTCACTCTGTAGACCAGGCTGGCCTCAAACTCACAGAGTTCCACCTGCCTCTGCCTCCTGAGGGCTGGGATTAAAGGCATGCGCCATCACCTCCTGGCTAGATCTAATCTTAAAGGGAAAAGAGATAGTTTATTCTGGAGCATTTTGAGAAATCATGGCCTGGAAACACAGGTTTAGATTACCTTGAATTCCATGTTCCAATGTGGAAGCTGTTTCATGAATATTTGTGGTTTTACAGGACAAAGAAAGTCATACACCAAGGCAAGTTTAAAATACATTGGGGTTGGTGGAAGCCAGCCATCAGCTAAGTTACTAGATTCCAAAGGATTTCTACCTATTAGTCACGCGATGTTAGTTCTGACAGAGGCAAGGAAGGAATGGGCAGTTCCAGAGGGCTAGAACTCGCCCAGGGCGAGGTAATGAAGCCTCTGGACCTGCAACATTCCAACCTCTCCGTGGTAGTGCGGTGCTAATGGATCCCTCAGTGTCTGCAGGCGCAGCTTCTGGGAGTTCCCATTCAGTCCTCAGTCCACGACAGGAGCCTGGACCCTGTGGTTCCCGATGTCAGCAAAGGAACCAGCAGCGGGGTGCATCCACCTGGGGACCAGAGGAAGGACGAGAGAGCAAAAGGGAGTGACCCACCTTCTGACACACCCTTCTGTCTGCCCAGCTGCCGGGAAGTGTGTCCACAATCTAAGCGGGCCCTCCCCCGTCAGCCAAAGAAATCTGGACAGCTCCTCGGGTGAGGCTCCCTCCTCCAGGAGACGTGAAACCCAGCCAGAGTAATACTTGACCTCTGGCCTCTACGTGAGCAAGCACACAGAAAGCGTTATCTAAGCCCTTCATGCTGCTCTATGCATTACTCAGATCTGAACCAAGACCTAAGAGCAGGTGGCCTTCCCAGCTCTTCCAGTGAGAAAGGCACATGGGGAGAAAGGGCTTCCCCATTCCAGGCTGCCCTTCCTGGTTTTGAGCACTGGATGAGAGTCTCGGAGCAGCGGCAGCCACCTCGTTACCATGAGGGGAGTCATTGCCTACAACCCTAGAGATAGCAGGACACAAAGACAGGAGACACCACTACACTACTACCATCTAGAACAATCCTCTACCAGGTTATCTTGGCAAACAAAGGCCTTGATAGTTTAAGCTACTCTGTTTGGGGGTATTAACTTTTTTTCTGCCACATACTTAACTCTTGGTAATCAGGAACAGAAATCATTTCAGGTTCGCAGACAGTAATGATTGGCTCCACTTCTTAACCCTGGAGATGGGGTGAAAATGACGCATCCACCCACCCAGTAGGAACTGAACTTGCATTCTGAGTTTTCCTGGGCTGGTGACACACGGTGTCATCCTCTCTAGCAGGGCTGGACCTCAACAGTGAGCCTCAGTCCACCACAAAGTCACCATAGCAGCTAGGCAGCCGCACTGCGTTTATCAGGCGGAACCCATCATGGGGAGGATCTGCAGCTGACGGAAGAGAAGGAGGTGTCTTGGTTAGGTTGTTAACTAAACACCAGCTAGGGTCATCTGGGAAGAGGGACATCGATTGAGAAAATGCCTCCATAAGATCAGCCGGTAGGCGAGTCTGTGGGACGTTCCCTTGAGTGATGGTCATTGTGGGAGAAGCCAGTCCACTGCAGGTGGTGACACCCTTGGGCGGGTGGCCCTAAACTCTTTAAGAAAGCAGGCTGAGCCATGTGAGAGCAAGCCAGTCAGCAGTGTCCCTCCATGGCCTGTGATCCAGACATGCAAGCCAAATAAACCCTTTCGCCCCAAAGTGCTTTGATCATGGTGTTTATCACAGCATAGAAACCATAAAGGGGGCTTGATGTGGTGGCCCCAGCACTGAGGAGGCAGAGGCA